CACCCCAGGTACCCCAGCTCTAGCACTTCCATGCCATCACTGGTGCAAGAGCAATCAACTGGTCAGGCACCACTGGGGTTGGAGAAGTCCTGTCATCATGATCAAAAATACCGCCAAGGTTGACTGTACACTTTCCCATGCACCACAGCTTTGTATTTGCCACCACTGATCACGGCTCTGGAGCAATGGAATAGAGAGAAGACAGAGAGCAGCAGGCTTGCAGATGCATGGAAAAGAAGAAACCTGAAAGAACAATCTTTTATGCTTGCAACTAGTGTTTTAATCTTTGGAATAAACAGGGGCACTTGCAATTATGAGCATCTTTTATGGTAAATTACTGCTATTTATGTTGGCAATTACCAAGTGTCATACATGATTATTTTATATTCTTAAACTTTGTCAGCTGAATGTGTAATCTTTAGCTCCCTATGTGTTTAAGACTTATTTTTACACACACAGTTACGTTTTTATATCTGTGGTAATTCACCAGTCAAAACATGATATGCATGACTTGGGTTCCAATCTTCCCATTTTAATTCTGTCCCCCCTCCCCCAGTAACTAGTCACGTTTGACTGATCTTTTCAGATTAAAAACTAAAAAGGAAGAGATATGTCGAATTTATTTGCAAATTCTCCTTGTTGAGCCCTGTCACTTTTGTGACAGCCCTCCCTGCATTCCCCCCTCATTTGGATTTGAAAAGTGGATGTAACCCTTTTAAGGCTGGACACAATTTCTTTGCATCATTTTTGTGTTTGCCTTTGCATTCAGAAGCTGATTTTCAAAGAGTTTTATTAATTGTGATAATCTAGAATATTTCAAATCACACACACAAAGATGGTTTAAATCCCTGAGTAGCAGAGAATACCCTGCAGAAGGACTTCCTATGTTCCAAAGGACAGGTAAAAGCTTCCAAAAAATCAGCAAAGCAATTTTTTTCTCTTACGTGCAAAAGCTGATTTTCCTTCCATGAGCATGAAAATCCTAATTTTATTTAAGAATACAGCATCTTGCATCACTATAAACAAAGACGGTCTTCAGTCATGCTGACCAAAACAGGTTTTGTGAGAGTTTAGTTAACAGTGCCTGTATGAGCATCTACCAAAACTGGTGCAGGATGTGGCTTTCCAGGACCGACTGACACATGTGCCACCACTGAGATTTTACCAAACTAGGTGAACAGAACTGAAACAGGATACGAAGAATGGTTTAGAACACCAGTATGTTACTGCCATGTCACCGTGGTACCTTTGAGACACTGGTACTGATATGAATATTTTTCCCTCCATGATTTATTTTGTAGTATTGAACCCACTTACCTGTTGGAGTGAGTGTATGTTTTTCCTTGACCGTACCGCTGTTATCCAGGTTAAAATGCTAACCTTTACATGCATAATTAAACCAGTGTTTACAACAGTCCAGTGTAGCAAAGCCTTAATTTTCGAATAGACTGAAATTCAAAATGTTTCTCTAAAATAATAATGAAAAGGAGTGAAAATGTAAGTAAGAGCAAAACAGAGGCAGATAGGAGTGAGCAGAAGCAGTATGAACCTGGCACAGCATTCAAACACTCCTTTGGTAGGCATATGCCTTTTTCCACGTCACTCCTGCTTACTGTAGTTGGTAGAAGGTTGCCCTTCCTTACAGAGTATTTTTTCCCTGGGCTAATCCTTTGAATTTAGCGCTGCAGGAGGAAGGAGACATTTCGTGCTTGCCGACTGCAGAACGTGTTCCTGTGTGCCAGTGGGAACAGGTTCTTCGATGGTTTTCTTCAGTTTTCCCTGAAGTTAGAGGTGAGGCAATGGCACACAGGTAAAATGGACATACATGTTATGCTGTACATCTTTCAGTCTGTATGAATATTAACTAATTAGTCAGTAAGAGCTGTGAGAAGGCTGTTCCAAATGGCAAAAGCTGCAGGGGACACAGCTCAAACACCAACTGCGTGTCTGAATGCTTAAGAGCCCAGAGAACTGGAAGGGAAGCAAACATGCTGAAAGGCTGGAGCAAGCCTGCAAGAGGGCTTAGAAAATACAAATAAATTTAACACATTAAAACTGGCAGCAGCTCATGCAAATATAATGGTTATATTAAGAATGGACTGTCAATCTGGACTGTTAGCCTTCAGCATGGAGAGATTATAACACAAGTGCTACCTAAGCCTTAATTACAGCAAATCAATGTTTTGACACACCACTTCAGGAAAACAAGTGTCCTCTGGTAAAAAGAGGTTTCTACATTTCTTTTTACTTTGCACCAGACTACTGAGACCTCCACTGCATAACTTCTGAGGCTTTTGGTTTCCTATTCTCGGTTTTCTTGGAAAATACAATTTTTCCTTGGGAACTAAGGATAATCTGGTAACTAAATCCAAGGTCTCAAGTTATATTTCCAGCTAACATACAAGCTCCACTGACAACCCAGCATCATTACTTGCCCTGTTCTCTCTATTCTGCTTACTCTGGCTGTGATTTTTGTGACTGTCTTCTCTGTGAGAAAGTCCGCAACAGTTCAGAGTGAATGAGCATCCTGGCAATATGCATGAGGATAATACTGCCTATTAAGAAGGAAAACAGGGTTGGTATAGTAGGACCTCACTTTAAAAATGAGGATTATCATAGCTAGAGTAATGATAAGCAGGCCATCCAGCATCACTATGACTTGACAGATCATGATAGGTTTGTGTCTATTTGAGGATGAGAGGTCTGCTCTTTGCCCAATGTGTAACACAGCCACTGAAATGGAGTTTTATGCACATCCTGATGTCGCAAAAACCACCTGGGTTAGGGATAACTAAATACAAAACCCCAAGGGTCCAGCTACAGGCTGAGACAGTCCAGTCACTCCTGGCCCAACTTTTCTTTTTTTCCCACCCAGAAAAAAGAGCAATGCTAAAGCCCTTTCCTATGGGGTAAAGAGAGTGATGAGATATGAACAGAATCCTCCAAGTGTGTTCAATGCTTCCTGGGTCTTGAGGGGAAGCTCTTAGCTGAGGGAACTGGCTAGTTTGTGTCAGTACCAGATAAAGAATTTTTTTAAGACAGAGCATTAGAGGAAAGAAAAAAGAAAAAAATTATTTTAAAAAAATTATTAAAAAAAGGAGGGAGGGATATTTACAAGTGCACGAATGGAAGCTTTGTCAGGAGTTTTCTGGGGAGATAAGGAGCTGGACTGGCCCATCTCTAAGCAGCATGGACACACTCACTGCCTTTGAGTCTCTCAGGAAAGAGCAAAAGGAGCTGCTGACATTTCTGCTTAAAAGGAAGAATCAATGAATCTTTGTTTCCCACTGCCTGCTTGTTTGACCTTCTTGTGTTGTGGAATAGAAAAGAAATAAAAGAGAACGGGTGAGGGGAGAGGGGATTCGTGTTAATAAAATCCAAGACAAGATCACAGCCCTCTGATCATCGCTGGAGATGCCATTATTTGGTTCTTGTCCTATTTGCTGCTGTTGCTCATTTCTGATTCTTGCCTTGCTGTAATAAGTCACACTCTTTCCAGCCATCATCCCTGTATTGACAGGCAAATGTCACCCACGTTTGATTGACGTCCATTGCTCCTGAATACAGAACTATGATTTAGGAATCAATTCTGTTTGTTTATTTAAACAGCTCTTTGTGTACCTTGTATGTCTGTAAGCAGGACAAGTTCCTTAATATTTTCTCAGCAGCAATGCCACTAATATTGCACATTCACCTTCCCACTCAGTCACAGAGGTGCTCATCAGACCTTGGGGGAGGAGAAGACTTTCATGAACACACACACACACAAAGAAAAGAGAAAACCCCAAGATTTAACAAAATGCTTTGCTGCCCCCAAGTTAAACCAAAGAGATCTCTTCCTCAGGTCCAGGCATCTGTTGATTTGCATATGCCCCGCACTTTTCTCTGGCTTCTAAACAAAAGGGAACACTTTCCCTAGGTGTCAGTTTGCAAGCAAAGCAGTGGCTGGCTTTAACACCAGGAAACACTGCTGCCAGTGATGAGTATGTCAGTTTTAATTCACAGGAAGAACTATTTCTTTCTCTGTCTTTATGGTTGTAATCGGGGTGAGGGGGAAGAGAGAGATCCGAAATTGCCAGAGATGTTAATCTGTATTATTGTGGGAGATATATTTTCAAATAACTTCTACCTGAACAATGGGTAAAGCATCTCTGCATTTAAAGAGGTATTTCCCATAAAACACCAACATGGTAGGGTGGCCTCAGGGAAGCGTTAAGCAGGAGGTGGATTGACCTTTTAATTCTCGATTGGTGACCTGAAGGGTATCCGGAGGCTGTTAAGCACATCTCTTCCCTTTGGTTTGCTCCAGGAAGAGCTGTCATCGCAAGATGCAGCTAGTGAGTGAGGCTCACGATTTCGCTGTTCATCCACTTGCGGGAGGGGTGGGGGAGGGAGATAAGAAAAAAAATATGTATTTCCCACACTGACAGAGTAATGCCAAACTCTCTGCGAGTGGGAAGAGCAGAGCAGATGCTGGAATGAGATGCCAAAGCAGCTCCCCTTTCCCCTGCGCTTTTGGGTGCCTATAAATTGCTCCAGCGCGCTCGTCAGCCTCCTCCTCTCCTGGCAGGTGGCACCCGGGCAGGATCCCGCTCTCCCTTCGGCTCCGGCTCCGGCTTCGGCGCGGCGGCGCGGACACTGGGCGGCGGGCACCGGGGCGGCCGGGAGGCGCGTCCCCGCTGAGGACAGTCGTCTCTGCGAAGAAAAAAAAAGAGAGAGAGTGAGAGCGAGCAGGCGAGCGAGGCGATCGCGAGAGGAAAGGCAAGTTCCAGGGAAAGTTGACTCGGACTGGCACAGCCTGCAAAAAAAAAAAGTCGATCGCCAGCGGGAGCATAAAAGTGCGGGCGGCCGAGGCGCGGCGGCAGCTCTCCCTCCTCTCCCTCTCCGCTCCCTTGCCCGCCCGGTGGCTGCAGCGGCCGCAGCGAAGCGCCGCGACCCGCGGGAGCCCCGCGCCACCGCCGGCCCGTGGGAGGGCGGCCGAGCCCCAGGGGAGCCGAGCTCGCACGGGCTCGGCGTTTTTTCGGCTCTGAGGAGGAACCCCGCCAACCATCAAGATTTTGTCCAAAAGCAGACAAGAGGATCGCCCTGCGCTGAGCCGGCTGGTGGGCAGCAGGCGGCGGCTGATCGCGGCCGGCGCGCTGGGGGTGGTGATGGTGCTGCTGCTGGTCATCCTCATCCCGGTGCTGGTCAGCTCGGCCGGCACCTCGGCGCACTACGAGATGCTGGGCACCTGCCGCATGGTCTGCGACCCTTACGGCGGCACCAAGGCGCCCAGCACGGCGGCCACGCCCGACCGCGGGCTCATGCAGTCCCTGCCCACCTTCATCCAGGGGCCCAAAGGGGAGGCCGGCCGGCCGGGCAAAGCGGGGCCGCGCGGCCCACCGGGGGAGCCGGGGCCGCCCGGCCCGGTGGGGCCGCCGGGTGAGAAGGGCGAGCCGGGGCGGCAGGGCCTGCCGGGCCCCCCCGGGGCGCCGGGGCTGAACGCGGCCGGGGCCATCAGTGCCGCCACCTACAGCACCGTCCCCAAGATCGCCTTCTACGCCGGCCTCAAGCGGCAGCACGAGGGCTACGAGGTGCTCAAGTTCGACGACGTGGTCACCAACCTGGGCAACCACTACGACCCCACCACCGGCAAGTTCACCTGCTCCATCCCCGGCATCTACTTCTTCACGTACCATGTGCTCATGCGGGGTGGCGACGGCACCAGCATGTGGGCCGACCTCTGCAAGAACAACCAGGTGGGCGCCTCGCCGGGGGCAGCCGGGGACACGAGGGCAGCAGGCGCCCGGGGAGAGCCGGGCTCCCCGAGGGAGCGGGCGCTGTGCGGGTAGCGGGCGGAGCGGCGCGGGAAGGGCGGGAAGCGGGCGGGGAGGGGGAGCCGGGCGGCCGCTGGAGGCGGCGCGGTTGCGAGGAGGGGTGAGCCCCGAGGGAGCCGGAGGGGACCGGCGTTCGTCTTTCCGCAGCCGGCGGGGACCTTGCGGGCAGCGCCGCCCCGCTCCGCCTCGGGTGCCCGAGGACCACCGAGGGGCCGGGGGTTCCGCGCAGAGCAGAATGCGGACTCGACGCTCTCTCCTCCCCGAGAGCCGCGCCGCAGGTGCCTCTCCCAGCCCGCCGTCCGGGCCGCCCCGCAGGCACAGCAGCACCTGTTCGGCGCCGCTCCCAGCCCGCCTGGGACATGGAGCGCTGCCCGCAGTTCTGCCGGGACGAGAGCGGGGGGCGGGCACGCAGGCAGCGCTGCCCCCGCAGGGGTGAGCATAGCCCGGCCCGCGCCCCGGCGTTCCCGGGAATGGGAAACTCCCCGGGAAGGAAGGGGAGCTGGAGACGGCGGGTGAACTCAAGAGAGGGTAGTACTGCGTGGGGAAAGGGTGAGGTGGGTGGGAGGAAAGCAGGCATGGCAAGGGGTGCTGGGTTTGACACGCTCAGCCCCCGGCGGGAAGGAGGCTTCTCCCCGCCCGGGAGAGCTGGTGACAGAGTGAGCACGGCGGCCGCAGAGCTCGGCCCTTGGCGGGCCAGCGCCAGGGGAGGCCCCGGCTGATGGATCGTGGCGGGGAGACACACCGGGCGACTGGAGAGCCCAGGCACGGCCCGGGTCTGTCGGCATCCCCCGGGGCAGGATGGAGACAACGGAAATAATTAAAGGTCTTGCGATGCTACCTGTCTGAAAGACACAGGAATCATTTCTTTTAATTAGGATAAACGTTGCCACCGCGCTCGCAGAGGCTGTGCCTATAACATTGCCTCCGGGGAGCCGTCCTTTGCAATTTTGCGCCTCTTCCGTACGTAGTTAACGGACGCGGATCGGTTGGCTCTAATTCCTACAGCGCTTAGCGGCACCGCCATCCCTCTGGCTCTGGGTGCCCGGGGGCAGCGCGGTGTGTGCCCGGGCGTTCCCGTGTCCCCGGAGCTCGGCGGTGCTCCCGCCGGTCTCCCGGCCCCCCCGTGCGGGGGGAGGGCGAGGGACCTGCCGAGCATCGGCTGCTCAACAGGTCCCTCAGCGTCCGAGCCGTCCCGGCACCCGGGGACTGAGGGGCCGTACGTCGGCTCTGCCGGGCTCCGAGAGCTGTCGCTCTCCCCGGGCTGTTCACCCCCCGGCGGGGCGGGCTGGGGGATTGATCAGCTCTGTGCGGTATCCGTGGGACTGAACACCGGCCCCGTGCCCCCGCCGTGCCGGGCGGGTCGCGGTCGGGCTCGTTCGTTCGAGCGTCTCGTCCCACGCCGAGCCCCTCCGGCTCACGGCCCTTTGTGCTCAGCGCACACCGGAGCGGCGGCCGCCGGTAAATTAACCTGATACACCACTTAACCTTTTGTATATGGCTCCTCAGAAGGACTGTGAAAACAGAATAATGAGGACATCAGCGGCAATTAATTAAGTTAGAAAACACCTACTATAAATACCGTCTCAGCAGATAAACCAGGACTAGTAAAGCAAAGTATGTCGCAATACATTCACTTCGATATCTTCATACAAAGGGAAATCTTGTATACTACAAGAATACCATTTTACATGCAAATAAAGCATTACTCTATTTTTTACCCCTACTTATAATGTTTTAAATTGTTTGTTTTCACTAATCTTGAATATATATATAGCAGTACTTTTAAAGAAGTACCCAGTTATAAATATTAAATTGAGCCTGAAGTCTAACCATTCCCAAATATAGCTACTTCCAGTACCAGACAGACAAATTAAACTCGTAGTTATTCAAAGAAGAAAAAAAAAGGCCAGGGCTTCTGTGAATATATTTGTATATACCCGTGCGAGACAAGTATTTAGGTAGTATAAACTGCATATAAACTGTTTGAAATGGACCCGCAGTTTTAATCCATCAGTAATTATGATTTGTACTTGAAACACTAAATGCTGATGTGACACTTATAATACACTTTGTGTATTATATAATACACTTTGTGTATTATTTATAAGAAAGCTCAGAAATTTTGGAAGTTGTGGAGTGACAAAGGTAACATTACAAATCCAGTGTTTTCTAACAATCAAAAAAGCCAAACCATTGGAAGTGTATATCAAATATCATTTCTAAGCAATACATATGTAGAACCTCAAGGTCCTCGGTGTTAATGCTACTTTAATGGTTATCAAGCTTGAACAGGGAAGTGCTGAGATGGCTAAGCAAATATGTGTGTGCAGCCAGAGAGCATAGCTTCATGAAAAAACTTGCATGAACTTGTGAAATGTATTGTCCCTTAATGGTTTAATTTTGAGTTACATTTACTGTCTCGCAGCAGTACACTCACTGAGAATTCATTTGAGACTGTTCTCCTAGGCTTTAAAAAGAAATTGCTCTGACTAACCAAGCAAGGAGGTAAAACCCCTAGGAATAGTGTACTGGAGTCTGTGGGACCTTTGATGCTATACACAGGGCAGTAAGATCTGCACTTTGGTTTCTAGACTTTCAACACCCAAAATATTTTTTTTTCAGCCAGTATGTACTATGTAGAATCTTAAAAATGAAATATCCATTGCTGTTGTAGTCAGTGTCCACATGCTGACTCCTTTAGCATAGTCACTAATACGAGTTCTCCTTTACTATCCACAGAAACACAACGTTTTATACAAATCCACAAAGTAGCATTTCATTAGGATGTAAATGGGAATTGGAAAAGTATATTAAAACCATCTGCTTGCCAGTACGCAAGACACTGGTTGGAAGTTTTTCTAGCTCATGTATAGTCTTTTCCCTTTTCACTCGTCACCATTTGCCCTTTCCATTTACACGGCCAGCAAGCATTTCAGTCTGTTATTTTCTCTGGAAGGTATTTCCAGGGTTAATGACCCAGAGAGCCTTCGACTCCACCCTGCCCGTAATTAATCCCGAGGAAACATCCGGTGCTTAGAATAATTATCGCTTAAACACTAGCAAAATAGATCAATAATGGTAAACAATACCAGACAAGTCAGAATCAAGAAGTCCTGAAATAGTCGGGGTTAATCATCATGCCATGTATCAGTTTAAATTTGCAGCCTGTCACAGCACTGCAAGCTTTTGCAGCCTTTCTCACTCTTCTTACAGGATGCATAAAGAATTTCCACCTACTGTGATCTTTAAGCTGCATAATGCCATAAGATCCTGCATGGTAAAAGAACCCCTTCCTTTATAGCATTTCAATATTAATGTGAAATCATACCACATGAAAATTTAATTTGGAAATTTATCATGTAAACTTTGAAAGGAATCCATGGAAAATTGTGACTTATAGCCTATTTTTTCAATTCAGAACAGATAAAATCCCACATATAGTACGCCAAGTCATGCATTATTACTTAGTTCAGCTTTGCAATGCCACTAAATCATTTACTGCTCTGTAACTATGCTAGAACAAAGACAAGCAACAAGCAGATGACGTGTTACACTGGAATAAATCACATACAACCATCTTTAAATATTTTACCAAACACGGTCAAATTATATATAAATGATTTGGAGACTTACAGTGGCATAGACTGCTCATTGCTGGAAACCAGCATATATATTGAAACTACAGATTACTTCCAGTTTGCAAGAAATGTCAAATTTAATCAGTAGCGGAATAGCAAGGGAGAAATGGGAAAAAAGTATGTTTAAGGGAAAGTTGCAAATGAAAAGCCCTCAATGACATGTAAATTCCAAAAACCTCTTAAAGCAAATAGTGACTTTCCTGTGATTTTTTAAAGCTGCATCTCTTAAAACACAGCGAAATTAAATTTTTGCTTACTGAAATGTGGCAATAGGAGTTTTTTCAAACCCAGACTAGGATCCTTACCTGCTTGTGTGCATGTGTGTGGGTGGGTGTGTATTTCTTGTATTCTTTTCTGCAGCATGATCCTATTACTGGTATGACAATAAACTGCCTCTGGAAAAAGTCCAGCTGGGGAGCTCCCTGTGGATCCTCATCATTGTCAATCACTTGTCCCACTGAAATAAAAGTTACACCAATGTAAAACTAGCACATGACCATATCCAGTTCTCCCAACTCCAGTTATTCTTACACATATATTTAAAAAGGCTCCAGACATTTACAGGAGATCAAGAAGTTTTGTATTCATCAGATGACTGAGAAAGGAGCGTGTTATTGCTTTAGTTTCAGATGTTGTAGGAGAAAATAAGCAATAACCATAGGAAAAAACATGAAATATAGGTTGCCAGATGTTTAAAGTGGCAACTCATGCACGGTGAATAAAACATTGAGGATATGCTATAAGTTCACAATGCAAGAAAAGCCACCTGAGTTTTCTTAACCACTCATTGTGTATTTTATGTAGGTTCGAGCTAGTGCGATTGCTCAGGATGCTGATCAGAACTACGACTATGCCAGTAACAGCGTGGTGCTTCACTTGGAGCCAGGAGACGAAGTTTACATTAAATTAGATGGAGGAAAAGCACATGGAGGAAACAACAACAAATACAGCACATTTTCTGGATTTATTATTTATGCTGACTGATAATGAGTAAAAAGACCCACCAAACCAGTCCAAAAATGAAGCCTGCTCTTCTAAGTGATGGATTTGCGTGGCAAAAGTCAATGAAACAAGTACCCCAGCAGAGAGCGACCACCAAACACCTCAGTAGCGGGGGAAAAAAGTCAAATGCTACCTGATTCACATCTGTACAACACAGAGAAATCTTATGTTAAAAAACGACAAAACAAGCTCAACAGGTGTGCGATCCACTACCGCCAAAGCAAATACTTCCTCATTGTTAGTGTCCATGTGAATGAAGTTCTACATAGATCAAATTTTTATAGGAAAAAAGCCCACCTAAGGACGCTGAGTTATTTCTTCAGTGTATATGATACTTTGATGTGTTATGATCTTGCTGCTTTATCCATACTTCAGCTTTGGTTCTTGTGACTTACTTGCTAACAATGATGCTTGGAGTCCACTGATAGTGTGGTGAGGAATGATTTTACAATAAAAGGAAGAGGTAATCAAAATATACTTTCTCTCTGCAAAGAAATTGTTTGCCTTGTACTTTTCTTACCCTTCCACTTAAAACTAGAAACTAATCATCTTCAAGCCTTAACTCAATGTTCCTGCTTTGTAGGTTTACATTAGACTTTTAACATAAAATCAGTCCAGTGGAGTTGTTTAAATTTTGTCTTTCCCTTAGCTGTGTTCTAAAAGAAAAAGGAGGATAGAAGAAACACTTTATTTTCCCCTGAAAAATGTAATAGTTGACAAACTATTCTGTTGGATCAAATCCCTGATTCCACCAAAGCCAATGGCAAAACTCCCATTGCTATTAGTGGAAAAGGGATTTGGCTTTTTTGATTTGTATACGTGTAAATATATATTTAGACAATTATTACAGGCCCATTCTTGATGGTTAGTTGTGTAAATATTTAGAAAGCCTATCATCCACATCATCACACTAAGGTAGAGTGTTTTCTTTGCAGCAATTAGTTTTCATTAGTCTTTTAGCACTTAGTCTGTACTTGGGTACTATTTTTAATAAAGTAGTTATGGATTAATATACTGCAGATGTTCCACTAGAATTCTGTAGGAATATAATGGTTCAAAACCTTAATTGTCTTAGGTGTCTTGTCTCACTGAAGTTAATGGGATTCTTCCCACAAAGGAGGAGTGGGAGATCTGACACATAAGAAAATGCTGTCACATAGACCTTTTCCATGGAAGCTAGTTACCAGTTTGTAGTAAGGTGTGCCTATGAGATGGACACAGTTGAGCATATTACCAAAAATGATTAACACATATGCAAAGAAAGAAGCAAATATTTACATGCAAAAAAAAAGTGTGTATTAAAACTTATTTTTCTCATTCATATATGTATAGATATAGATATATAAAATCTAAAAGAGGTTTAATCCATATAGAGGATTAATGGCTTGGAGAATTAAACTAAACACAGATACTATGAGTTACATAGTTATAAAAATGCTTTAGAATCAGTCATACCAGTAATGTCCACAGAATATTTTTATTCAGAAAATGGATTTATTATTTGTTTTGGTTTTGGGAGGCTGTCTGTTTCTCTCAGGTTAAAACTCGCAGATTTCATTCTAAACCTAAATTTTAGCAAGATTACTAAATAGTTCTTTAGCACAGTTGGTTATGTTATTTATTTTTAACATTTCGGCAAAATCAAGTCAACATTTCTATAAATCATTAAAGTATAATAGAGGCTACCCCTACCATTGCTATTTCATGTACTTTGCCACAAGCAACCTTGTCTAATGTACTAAGGGTACAAACTCAGATTTATCTGCACTAAAATGTCTGAAGTGTCTGCCACTGTGACAAAAAAGCTCTCCAGTGCTGGCTGCTCAGCAAAAGTCTGATAAAGATTGTACACATCTCTCTAAAAATCTCATCTGAATAAGTGACGGTTCTCTTCAACAGAGCATGTTACTCTTTGTTTCTGTTTTGAGTCGTCCAATTCAAAACAAACGCCGAGTGAGTCTCGGCTGACGGAGAGGATCACCAGGCAAACTCCTGTAGGGTTTATAAGGGGACATAGTGCTGCCAGCTGCTTGTGTGTTATCCCACCAGAATGGTTAACGCTCCTACTTTATGACGAAGTGCCAATCTGTATCTGTACATCGTAGTGATTACTCCTGTTTTATTTCTATGAGGCAATTACTTTAATAACAAATGTGTAACTGAACTTGGTCTGTTCGCTCCACTGTTGTTTTACTGGTCAGTGCACTCACACAGCAGTGTAGCTAGAGATCCTCTATGTAGTGCCACACACCAATGCACCAAGCTAGAGATCATTCACAACCAGCAGTGCGTATTTACTAAGGTGTTTATTGGAAAGGCTCAATACTACAAGATGTATATGGTCAAATTTGAAGAAACTTTTGAAATCAGGCTCCCACTGCTACTGGATAACACCATTTTTTGAATAGATCACATGCCCTGGTTAAAGTTAGACAAGAGCAAAGAACACGCTTTATGTAAAAACCACATATAAGGCAAACATTTCTTCCTTTTTCATCATATCTTGATATACTGATTTGTAAAGACTTATATCACAACCTTTGTTATAACTATTAGAACTCATTAAAACTGTATTATGTAATATATTTTGACTTCTGGTGTTGCATCTTTACAAAAAGAAGCTGGTCTGTGTCAAGTTTTACATGATCACTGTGAGATTCCAAAAGTTCATGATAAAAAAAATGTGATTAAAAAAAGACATCTGTAATAATACTGCACATAGTTTAAGAGATCATCAAATTGCTTTATTCAAAAATATATTTTTCCATGTATTTTTTACACTTTCAGTTAAAATTAAGTAAATTGTTAAATTATAAAAAAAATTACCTTTTTAGATTTGAGATTTCTTTTGCCTTGTGTTGTCTACAGAAGCTATTTAAAAGTTACAGACCTTTCATCAAGCATTACTCAAAGAATACAAGGATAATGAGAAGATTGTCAGTGTTACAAAGATTAAATTAGCCCCCAGAGACAGGAAATTTAACTGAAAACCATAATTTCTTTCAAAGTCCAGGTGGTGCATCTTCAAAAGTAGTTTGGGGTAACATTCAATAATAGTATTAGATTACGCTCTTGAAACAATTATTTTAAAATTTCTATGGAAAAGATTTTGAGGTAGGCTCATATTCAGTAAATCACTCATGAACAAATTTCCAGAAGGGAGAAGATGCAGAGACAGGACTCAATTTTGATGTTCTAATTAAAAAGAAAATTTATAATCAGTTTGTTTGCATCTCCTTAATAATTTTCAGTTTCTCTGAAAAGAACCAAATTTTAAAATGACTGCTCTCTGGAAAGAAATTTGAATTTTATCAAGCTTCTCTACAGAATAGGAATAATTATTCATTATTCCTACTTAAAAGTCAACCACCGCTTTGGATTTGCTAGGAGTATTTTATCAATTTTATCTTGGGATATGCCTCTAATTAGCATTTTAGGAACTATATTTTCAAAGATATGTGAATATCCATGACCTCCATATTTCATCAACCTGTTCTTGGTGTGCACATCATGAGCCATCAGAATTCTGTCTTCATAGCCTTCATCAATCAGTGTACGAATCCTGAAAAATTAAAAGCACACCTGTCAGTGAAAGTTCTCACTCTGCAACAGCACAGAAGCAACCAGGATTTACATTTCTTATATTACTGTACTGCTGGACTCTATTATAGCAGAAAATAGTTATTTTAGGTGGTCAGAAAACATACTCCTTATATTCACTTGAAATTAAAACACATTTTTTATTGCATGAAAAAACCCCACCTCTGAAAACATACCACCACACATCTCAAAATGGAGAAGGAAAACTCTTTCCATTTGGCACATGGCTTTGCATTCCCAGTCCCATGAAGTTCACAGAGGAATTCAAGAGCTTCAGCATCACCATGCATGGGACACAGGTTTTATATACATGAGTAAGTAATAATTTCCTACCTAAACTCTTTCTCAGCAGGTTACTTCTTCCTGCCGTCACAAAGCTGATCCAATTACATTTGCTAATGACCAGACTGTGTGTGACAGGTCCTTTAAGAAGCCTGGCTCAATTGCACAAATACTTCCACATCTTCAGTTAAATCCCATTTAGCAAACCAGGTTAATAAAAATATGAAGTTGCCACCATCATGTTCCATATAGACAGTTATCATCCAAACACATTTCAAAGATATTCATTAAGGAAGAACAGAAATAAGACTGGCATGGCACAGTGCTAGCATGTGCCAAGAAATAAGAGGAGTGAATATGGCAACCCAGCTGAATAGGTTTGGCAAAATGACAAGCCAGCCTGGAAAAAGAAGTAATCCGTCTGGTCACTCCCTTGTATCAGGACTTCTGTAAGTCCTTCTGTTTCATGTTTCACTCAGGTAGCCTTAATCCTTGATCAGCTAATTTTTTAGAATTTATTAGGTGAGTCTGAACACCTGTATTACACAACTGTTAAGCTTCCCAGTAAGCTTCAGTGTAGTTTGGCAGTAGATTCCTGCATTGAAGTGGCAGAGACAGACAGACCAGACCTGGAAAGTGCTTGTTCCTCATGTAGGCCTCCAATTCAGTCATTTGCCAGCACTGTGAAATTCTGATTCTTACCTTCCTGGCTGTGCTTTGATCAACAAGAAAACAGACACCAGTTTTATAAGTAACTACGCTGCATCTGAAAGCCCTTACTGTCGGTTTTTATTGCAATTAGTTATGAGGAGATACATGTAGCAGGATCTAATCAATATGGGCAGCAGGAAGAAAGCACATAGGATAGATTTTGGTAAAATATTATCATCTTTCAGAAAAAAACACCATAACTAGTGCCACAGAGTGCACAACACTATGTATACCATAGCATTACAAACATCACAAGTATCTACTCCAGCCTGAAATACAGAGAGGCTATAGAATAGTATTATAGAATATGATGAGTTGGAAGGGACCCATCAGGATCATTGAGTCCCACTCCTGACCCTTTGCAGGATACCCCAAGAATCACACCATGTGCCTGAGAGCTAAATGCTTCTTGAACTCAGACAGGCTTGGTGCTGTGACCACTTCCCTGGGCAGCCTGTTCCAATTCTCAACAGAGAGTAAGAGCAATGGCACTGGGGGAACTAAGTTGTTTGCTGACCAAACATCATTTAGAATCATCTTCTTTCATATTTGGACTAATTTCACGGGTTGAGGAGGCATATGATCCTTTCCATTTTGTATTCAAGGCTCCTTAGTTTAGTTAGTACTTTCTTCTGACTCAAATTAAAACTGTCCCTAAACAAAAATCAGTATTTTACTTGCATTAGCAGTAGATTGCAGTCAAACTGCTGAAGTACACAGATGGCTAAACTGTGTTCAGTAGGTACATTATAACTACATAAGTTTATGTTTTGAATAGAAAAGACCTGAAGATATATTTTCCCTTATGTATTTTCATACAGAGGTCAATTTGATTTCTACCTCTCTGGAGCTGTTTCGCAAAACAAAACCCTAAGGATATTGCCACTGCCATCTCGAGTCCATCGTAGGTGCATCAATATCCATTTAGGGGCACTTCTAACTCAAATGCACATTTTCACACCATACAATGAGAAGACAAACTTTTCGTCACTTCTTCCTGTGAACAGCCTGCAGCAAGAAATACTCAAATGCCAGAGAGTTTAAGGAGAGACATCAGTGGCTGAGCAAGTATTATGGATGGAATGAAAACTCTGCCACGGTTGAACAAGCACTTGTTAACCAAGGCATAGTCCAGTTCTCTATATGTATTCCGCAGTGCTTCCATAGAAGCTGACCTTCCATGGCACAGCAGAGGGTAGGAGGCACAGGAGAGGGAGCAACTTTATCCATTCTAAATGTGAAAACTGCAGATTCATTGCAACAGTTTAAAATACTGAGTGCCAGACTGAGAGCACTGTTAAGAGAGAGAAACTATTCCTAGTGTGAAAAGCAGCAGAAAATGCTTGGCAGTGAGTGGAAGAGTAACCACAGCACCTTCTTAGGAGAGAACAGTTTGAAAACAGAAATTAGTTTCAAGGTTAATCTGACAATGAGGGGGAGAGAAGCTATGTCTGAAATGTAAGTGGAAGCTAGAATTTACTTCATTAGTGATCAGAGATCATAAAATCTTTCTCATCAAGGAGAACATAAGAACAATTTTTGACTCTGGAAGGTAAAAAGACAGAGGCAGGATGGCACCTCGACCCTCAGAAACCTGCCACTTCACTGCTCACAAACACTGTGGACAAACAGCACAGAAGGATCACACCTCCAGATAGAGTGGAAAGAGCGAGGTGCCCATTCCCAGCTGATCCTACCTTCTCTCAGACAGTTTCTGCACAGAATGCATCTCCTTGGCAATACGTTGTGTTAGCACAGCACAACAGATTTGCTGTGCAGCTGAGCTGAGACTGCAAGGGCTGATGAGAAGCAGGGAAGAGGTATCCTGCCAGTGGGGCCAATATTTTCACATTGTGAGTGAGTGTGAGGAGCATGAGAGCTCTGAGGAGACAGGACTTGCATCCTTCAAAGGAGAGAAAGGGCAAAAGGAAAGGGGGTGAAAAAGTGATAAAGTGCTTGGAAAAAAAAAGTCAGTTTTTCAGGAGAGAAGCACAGGATCAAATCCACCCAAAACAACCAGCAAGTTTTGCTGGGTTAGCA